GGTATATGTGCTAATATATTGTAAACCTTAAGGAATGAATAAAGTAACGAAATATTCAACATATTTTTTTTTTACATCAAGAGCTTGGTTTCATTCAAAATTCTAAATGTTAAATCGTGTACAATTGCTGTGTTTCTGCAATTGTGCACAATGTATATTTGATGTGTGCCAGCCGTATATCTTTGTGTCGTGGTTCAACAATTTTTCTGTGCCGTGTTTGTCGCTACAGTATTTGCAAATTTGCCACATTTTGCAGTCTATGTTACTATCTTACTGTAAATGAACAATGTTTAGGGTATCTGTGTATCAGTGTCGTTACAGCTTCTGCCTGGAAGTACTGTCTACTTGGTAGGATCTCACCAAACAAAACAGTCTAGTTTGGTAGGATCTCATCGAATAGAGTTATCCAATTTGGCAGGACCTCACCAAATAGAACAGTCTAGTTTGGCCGATCAGTACCGAAGAGAACCGTGTTCTTCAGCAGGATTTTCCAAACTACCTAGTATGCATGTTATACCTCTCTTTGATCATGTAGTGCTCATTCCATCCCCTCTGAATATTCAAGAGGTAAGTATTTTAAATGATAATACAACTCATCATAATAATGGTGTCAGTACTTACAAATTTTCAGCAAGGCAAAATCATGGTGTCCGACAAGTTCTCTGTGGAAGGAAAAGTAAATTATCCAATTGCTAATTACGTATCATGTGAGCAATGTTCACCAGAGCAAAGGACATTAATAAATCACATGGAATTAATCAAAATTCCAATTAGGTAGAAGAAGGCCTACGAGACCTAAGTGGATACAAGCTATAGAAGAAGAGATATCAGCTTTGTAGAAAAATAAAACCTAGGAGGTAGTGCAGTTACCAAAAGGGATGGAATCTGTTGGTTGTCGTTAGGTGTTTACAATCAAGTATAAGGTTGATGGATTAGTGGATATGTACAAAGCAAGGTTAGTGGCTAAGGGGTACGCTCAAACATACGGTGTAGATTACCGAGAAACATTTGCTCCGATGGCAAAAACAAATACGGTACGTGTTTTGATTTCCTTAGCTACAAATATGGATTTGTCTCTTAAACAGTTTGACATGAAGAATGCGTTCCTTCATATGAACTTGGAAGAAGATGAGTGCAGATTGCATGTCTCTTTATGGACTCAAGCAATCGCCCCATGCTTAGTTTGATAGGTTTACTTAGGCAATGAAAAATACGAGTATCACCAAAGTCATTTAGATCACACTTTGTTTTTGAAGCATAGGCTTAGCAAATTGACTGCTTTATTAATTTATATGGATGATATGAATATTACAGGGGGTGATTCAGAAGAAATCCATAAGTTACAAGTAAATCTTGCATCTGAATTTGTGATGAAAGATTTGGGAGAGTTGAAGTATTTCTTTGGGGGTTGAGGTTGCTCGTTCACCTAAATGTATTTTCTTATTGAAACAAAATATGTGTTGGATTTGTTGAAAAAGACTGGTATGTTAGGGTGTAAACATGTGGAAAAGACTTGTATGTTAGGGTGAAAAAGACTCGTTCACCTGATGGAGGTGGATATCAAGGACTTGTGGGGAATTGATTTATTTATCTCATACTCGTTATGATATTTCTCTATTATGAGTGTTGTAAGTCAGTTTATGCACTCACCCAATGAAGATCACAAGGTTGCGGTAATGCAAATTTTAGCATATCTGAAGTTTGCAACCAATAAGAAAATACTTTATTTGAAAACATGGGTATCTAAAGGTTAAGCAGTTTACAGATTGGGAAAATCATCTCCCTAGTTTATGAAATAATAAATGTTGTAGTTTATATATATATATATAAAATTTAAATTTGATTCTTGTACATTTTCATAAAATTAAGTGCACTTGACATAAAAACGATGACGCAAAAGAGGACAAAGTTGAACTTATCTTCATAAAGTTACATAAGTTAGGAGAAGCAGGGAGTGCAAATCTCTTCCTTCTTAGACCATCTCCAACCCTGACCTAAAACCTAAAATATTTAGCCCAGAAAATTTAGGTTTTAGCCCAGAAATAGCTTTTCTACTCCAACCCTTTTGGCCTAAAATTTGAGCCCCAGATTATCAAAAAATGAATTAAGGCTATTTTTTTTTAAATTAACTTTTTTTTTTTTAAAAAAATTATGTAGACTATCCTAAATTAATTTTATGAACATTTTAACCTAAAAATATTTAAATTCCGATAAATTTTGAAAAATCACTAAATCAATACATGAAAATCATGATAAACCACATAAACTTAAAAAAAAAGACAATTAATAAACCACATAAATTTTAAGATTATTCTAGCCATTGGATTTAAATTTGGACCGTTAGATCTTTTTTTTTTACTGTTAGATTTGATTATATTCGATTTAAACCGTTGGATTCAATAAATATATAAATATAAAACAAAAAAAAATTGAATGTGGACCGTTGGATTAACCAACGGTCCAATTACCACCACCACCCGATGAAGAAAAGTAGTCGTTGGCTACAGGACAATGCCCACTTTTCACTCTCATCCGTGGGTCCCAGCAGCTTTTGTGGGCTAAATTTGTGACCTATATTTGCCTTCATTTTAAGTTTTAGGTTTTGGGTTGGAGTGGATTTGGGGGGAAAAAAAAGGGGAAAATTTAGGTTATAGGTCAGGGTTGGAGATGGTCTTAGAGCCTCTCTAATTTTGTCCTATGTAATTTTAAGTTAATTTTAGTTAGAAAGACTAGAAATCTATTTTAAGAACTCTTTTTTATACTCCAAACTGCTCCCTAGTTTATGGAGTAATAAACATTTAAGTTCTTTTTTTAATTCTATATATATATATATATATATATATATATATATATTATAAAAACGAGTGCAGGGTGGCATATAAACGCAGACAATGAAGCAAAGAATAAAAAATTGAGCTATTTGCATGTCGGGATTTGGAACTAAGGGCCGTTGCACAAACTAGTAGAAATAAAAAGTGCAAATCTCATCCTTCTTAAGCATCTCCAATCATGCTTTTTGTTTTAAAATTGTAGTTAAAAGACTAAAAACTTACTAAGATCGTTTTATAAATTTTATTATACTCCAACCATGCTCACTATTAGAGAGTAATAATATTTTATTAATTGTTCAATTGAATTTTGATACTAGGTAAATGTAAAATTCTTAAAACCTAAAGTAAAGATTCGTTACTCGATCAGTACTATGGTCTGGTGGTATTCCTCTTTGCTTAGAAGTGAGAGGCATTAGGTTCGAATCTCGTGGATGGCGAATTCGATACTAAATGCTTAGCCGAACTCCCCCTCCCTATAGTGTAAAAATATCGATTCACTAAAAAAAAAAAAAAGTAATGTGCAAAATAACCTTAAACATTAGTCATTTGGAGCCAATGTCTCTCTTCTTATCTTATAAAGAACATGTTTGAAGTTGAGTATTACTAACTTAATAAATTTTAACTTAGAAGTTCATTCAGAGTATGAGAATTCCCACTATTTTTCTATCTTCCTTTTCTTATTAACTTGTGTAATAAAAATTCTTATTTTGGTCTAATAAATAAAAATATAATCTTCAAGGAAGATCCACTCATTTATATTTAGTGAACCTTTTTTTGGATATACTTTATGACATTTGGGAGAAGAGAAGTGGAATGTGTTGAGTTACAACACAAGGTAAAATAGTGTTAAGTGTGAGTACAGAGTAGAGTTTTAAGTACATTACCATTGGTGTTTACATTCATTTAAAAAAAAATTTCATTGTAAAAGAAGAAATATTTGCCACATAATATTATGGTGTAGTAATATTCCTTTTTACTTGTACGTGAGAGGTTTTAGATTCGAATCTCGTGAAAAGTGAGTTCAAAAAGAATTTATTCCCCCACTATTTATTGTAAATAAATCACTATGTCATATATATATATATATATATATATATATATATATATATTTCATTTCTTTTAGGCTTTTTATCCAAAATAGTCCATGAGATTGGTATAATTCTTTATTTTGGTCATTAAGATTTGAAATCGATAGAAGTGGTCCCTGAGTTTGTCTACCATCAATCATTTTGGTCTTTCTACAGTCCTTCTATGAAAAATCTTGTTAAATTAGAACCAAAATGACAAATATACTCTGAATTTAATAAACAATGGGCCAAAATAATATGACAAAGATAGAGGATACATTTGTCATTTTTTCCTTATTTAACGGAGATTTTTCACGAAAGTACCAAAATAATTAATGGTAGAGAAACTCAATTATCATTTCTATCAATTTTAAATTTCAATGATCAAAATAAAGAGTTATGTCATCTCAAGGGCAATTTGGCTAAAAAGCCTTTTTTTTTTTTTTTTTTTTTTGCAACGAAAAAATCATGTAAAATCATGATATGCATTTAAAGACTATATCCAACAAAAATTTGACTAAATCCAACAAAAACTAAGAATTTTGACTCACACTATGACATTAAATTATCGTTTACGATATTTGTAATTGTATTTAGAATTATGATTATATTCTAATTACGGACGAGAGACAAATGAATGATGGACGCGTAAGTTCATTGTATTATGATTAAGCATGATCTGGGCTCTCAGATGTAAGAATTTTAATTCAACCGACGCGCTTTCTCGCATGCAATGTACGTGACTCACGAAAAACAACGGGCCGCATTTACTGTGGGTGAAAGCCGGGGTGGAACAAGCGATGCGCATTAATAAATATCGCGAAAATTCCGGGGATAAAAAAGGATAAAACAAAATTTAAAAAAAATGGAAAAATGTAAAGAAAATAGCAAAGGGACACCTTTTGCTAGGCTATAAAACCCAAGAGGTTTTTTTGAGAGTCCAAGTCCCAACCAAACGCGTCCATACCAATCTCTTCAGTCTCTTCCCTCACTACTACACACAGTAATCAAAGAAATTGAGATCTGAAGAGACCAAGGTATACAAGTGCCTGGTTTTTTGTTCTCTTTAATTGTGCTACATTGTCAAATAAATTCTCGAACCATGGCTACTCTTCCAGAGTCTTTGTTGGCCGATCAATCGTCATTACCGGGAAACCAAGCGGGTCAACCTGCGTCCCGGCCACCCCAACCCGGTGACGGCGACCAGTCCAGAAGGGTCCTGTGGAGCAGTTGATTCTAGAGCTTAACGATGATCGTACCCGAGAAAATGCCCTACAACGCCTCTCTAAGGTCACGATCATAATTCATATATTCCTTTTATGATAATTTTCTCCCTCTCTCTCTCTCTCTCTTTTTTTTTTTTTTTTGCCTTATTTCTTTTCTAATCGAATTGCATGTTATATACATGTATTTCTTGGTTTATTACCTCAATTATATTTTTTTTGCATCAACAGTGGCTTTGCATGTCACGCTCAGAGTCTTGTGTGTCACGTACACTGATTTTTTTCAAGTTATAATTATAAAATTAATATTTTTTAGGGAGCAGCAATTTTTTTATGGTGCAGTTCTGTTTAATTCTTGTTTAGTGATTGACTTCTTCTTTTAAATGTTTTTATTTACCCCATTTTTGTTGGTTCCTACTGATGATAGAGAGGTTTTATATTAAGAGGTGCAAATTAGCTATTAAAATTAGAGGATAATTGCGGGTTTTTCTATACAGAACCTCAAGTTTCATCTAACTATGGAGTGTTGTGAAAATATAGGTAATGACAAGGGGTTGCTTCATATGATACATGCATATGGACTATGTACAGATATAACGCTTAGCAGATCAATTTTTTATTTATTATAAGGATAATACTTTTTCCTCAATTTCCCATTAAATTGACATAAGTAGCCAATATAAAACGTCATAATAGGGACTATTTGTCACATCCCGGCCCGGGGTGGATCCCTTCCCGGGCCCGCTTCACTACCGTAGCACGATATTGTTCGCTTTGAGCCTTGACCACGCCCTCACAGTTTTGTTTCTGAGAACTCACGAGCAACCTCCCAGTGGGTCACCCATCCTGGGAGTGCTCTAGCCACCTTCTCGCTTAACTTCGGGTTCCGAAGCCAGTAAGCTCCCAAAAAGCCTCGTGCTAGGTAGGGATTAGAATATACATTTAAAGATCACTCTCCTGAGCGATGTGGGATGTCACAATCCACTCCCCTTACGGGCTCGACGTCCTCGTCGGCACACTTTTGGCCAGGGATTGGCTCTGATACCATTTGTCACATCCCAGCCCAAGGCGGATCACTTCCTAGGCCCGCACCACTACCGTAGCACGATATTGTCCACTTTGGGCCCTGACCACGCCCTCACGATTTTATTTTTGGGAACTCACGATCAACTTCTCAGTGGTCACCCATCATGGGAGTACTCTGGCCACCTTCTTGCTTAACTTCGGAGTTTCGACAGAACCCGAAGCCAGTGAGCTCCCAAAATGCCGCGTGCTAGGTAAGGATGGAAATATACATTTAAGGATCACTCCCCTGGACGATGTGGGATGTCACACTATTCATTTTCTTTGTCATCATCTAAAAATCTATCTGTAGAAAAATTTATATGATTCAAATATGTGTAGTCATTCATATGTGTCAAACAAATCGATGGTTCATCATAATTGTCGATTTGTTTGACATAAATAGATGACTACATAATTTTCAAATTGAAATAATTTCCTTAGAGATGATCTTTAGATGATGATAAGAAGAATAAACAATTTTAATTATGAAGCTTGTACAGTGAAATAATGTCACATTAAAGGAAACGACACTTGTACTAACTCACATCTTACCTAGTGAAAAAAAGTTCTTATTGATAATTATCACTCTCTCTAAGTTCAGATTAGGGAAATTCGTGAAGACTTGGCTCCATTACTGTGGCACTCATTTGGTACTACATTTACGCTGTTGAAGGTATGGCATGCATGTCACTTGGCTGTTTTAATTAATAAATTTCAATTAAAATTGAGTGAATTCCCAGATTAAAATTTACGATGATTTAGTTCGTTCATATTTTTCGTTATTTGCAGGAAATAATTGCAGTGTACCGCTTACTTTCAACCCCAAATCTTACTCAGGAATCATCAAATCGGGCATGCAATACTCTCTCTCTATTTCAGGTCAGTACTCTCACAATAATTTTAATTCAATTTGTCTACAGTAAAATGATTTCCACAGTACTCTTTTTCTGTTTCACACAGTTGCGTTTATTTTGGTTAAATTGAGTAAATTAAAGAAGAATCACTGAACAATAACAAAAAGGTGCGCGTAGCTGCTGAGCTAACGACTTTTGCTACTGTGATTTTGGTTAAATCATCATGTTTCCTTTGTGTTAAGCTAATGACATTTGCTACTGTGAATTTGGTTTTGATTTTTAACAGTGCATAGCTGCTCATCCTGAGACAAGAGAGCCATTCCTCCGGGGTAATTTTCTTTTGCTAAATAAATCTGTATAAACCGTGACCTCTTATGACCCCAAAATTAATGATAAACTTAAATGAGTTTTGATCTTGTTTGCAGCTATTGTGCCGTTCTATATTTACCCTTTCCTCAACACGACCGAAAAGGACAAGCCTCATGAATACTTAAGGCTGTCGAGCTTAGGCGTTATTGGTGCCCTTGTCAAGGCATGTACATATGGAATCATGGATTACATTTGAGAAATGCACAGATGAAACTAGTTACAAATATTTAATCCAAACAATAATCCATATACAAACAACGATTTAGCACCTCTTTATTGTTTGTTTAGTGTCCTGCAAATAGTTTATACTTCTTATATATCCCATTTTCATGTCTTTCTATGAGCTTGAATGTTCATTAACATAATGACATAATTAAATTTGGATTTCCCTTTTCCCCGGTTCAGGACAATGATGAAGAGACTGTTCTTTTCCTTCTTCAAACTCAAATATTCTACCATTGCATGCGCTGCATTGAAGTTGGCACTGGACTGTCAAAAACTGTAAGAAACTAACAAAGGAAGTTTATAATAATTAATTATTTCTAAACTTAATTATGCTGAAAAATCTTTTTTTCTGTATATGCAGGTGGCCACATTCATAATGGAGAGGATTCTGATGAGTCCTGAGGGACAGAAGTACTGCTGCGCTTTCCATGATCGTTTTTTCGTAGTCACTCAAGCTCTTACCAAGATGCTCGACAGGATTACTACAGAAGAGCCTTCCCTCCGGCTGCTTAAACTCATCGTTCGTTGCTGTATGAGGCTCGCAGAAGGCCAAAAGTAAATTACTCTTCATACTTAATACTTCCAGGTCTAAGCTCATCGCGAGTCTCGGACTAGACAAGATTGGAATTGAGTTCGAGCAAGTTTTAATATATTTGTGTCTAATACAATTAACTAGTCCAGTCTCAACAATTTCAAGTTCATTAAATATCCGTTGTCCTTTAGTCTAATTTAACTAAAATATTCGAGTTCAGGATCGAGCTTGCAACACTCTAAATAAGACTAGTAACATACAATGTGTTAGACTGGTCTCCACTTTATCTATAAGTTTACCGAATGACATTAGTCTAATTTAGTTGAAATAGTCGAGTCCAGATCGAGTCAGCAAACGAGGAACATTATTACATTTGTTAATTGGTGTTTGAATTTTTCATTGCAGGGACGCCGACTACAGAAATTTGTGTCTTCCTAAGAGCTTGAAGGATCCTAAAGTCATTAACCTCATCGCTGTAAGTTCTTCGAACACTTTTTGTTGGATTTCTTCCCACAGCCCCTTTATTTTTTACTGAAACAATTCTTCTTGATTTAATTTCCAGGACGACCCAACATCCATGGCATGTATGAGACGACTTGTTCAGTGTCTTACAACTACGAGAAGGGCTCCTCCGACAGACGCAGGCGCGGAGGTCGAAAACGGGCACCCGGTGAAGACTGAACAGGAGTAGCAGACGAACCATGTTATCATCACCCATGCTGGTCAATCCCCACCACAGATGAAATACCAAAACCATGCAGACTGAAAACTGTTGTAATATGTTGCTTCTAATGTGCACTTTGTTTTTCGTTGTTGTAATTTTACTTTTAAACTGTACCATGTTATTAGCGCTTGTACTTGTTGTCGAACTGCTGTAAAATGTTCTTCCTAGACTGAAATGTACCTGTAGACCGCTGTTTGTGTTAAAGTTGCCTTGCTTTTTATTGCTTTTTGGCATTGGTTGAGTTAGTCCCACATCGACTAGTTGAGAAGAAGATATAGACTTTATAAAGCTCTTTCGCGCCTCATTGGTCACGACCTTACTTGAACAGGATCTGTTCTATAGGTTGTACATCTGTATCCTTGATTTCTAAGGAGACAGGAACCCCAGTCTGGTGGATGAACCATGACCGTGCGATCAGAGCGTGATTAACAGCACTGTGATCCTTGGATCATTCGAGCAGTAGATGATCGTTCTCAGCCGTTGTAACAACCGGCTGGGGTGGTCACACGGTTGTCTGACAGACCCCCTTCCCCAACCTTTTTGGTTTTTTCTTCGGTTAAATTTCACATTCCGTCCGGGCAGAGGCATTGTGCCCGCCGTATTGCATCCCGTCTCCGATCGCCGGGTCAAAAATACTTCCAGTATATGTCTTCCATTCTCAATCATGAACTCAATACTCTCATTTCTTTCTAGTCTGGCTTTAGCATTTCTTAGACCTGACAATTTCTTATACGACACGAAAATAATGGGTTTCTAATCAACACGATAACTAATCGGATCATTATCGGGTCACACGATAATAACGGGTCCTTAACAGATTTACACGAGAATGACACGCGAGTAACTTGTTTCGACACGATAAGAAAAAAGTTATTTTGATAATTTTATTTTTTTTAACTACAAAAAAAAACGTACAATAAAATACAAAAAATATAATGAATATGTATATGTTGTTTATTAATTATTATTCTATATAAATTATAAAATTTAAGTTTTTTTTATTTATTTATTTTTATACTATATTATAGGCAAGATTGAAATTAAAAATTATAAAACACATTAAAAATAAAAATATCAAGTAATTTAAAAATACAAAACACATTAAAAAAAATTATAATAATTAATTTACATGTGCGAAAAATATGAAAAAATATGCAAACACTCGTAGTCACATCCTCTACACTTTGAGGATGAGTCTATGATCGTTTGAATTTTTAAACCATCCAAACTCTTTTAAGGGAGTTCAAAATAAACAAAATTCATAATCATTAATGTATAAGTCTGAAAAATATGAAAGCATAACAAACGTTTATAATTGCATCATCAACACTTAGACGATGGTTACATGGTTGTTTAGATTTTTAAAACCCTCCAAATCTCATGATCAGTGTTTTTTATTTGAGTGCCAAATTAATAATAATTATTGTAGAAATGTGCAAAATGTAATCACTCGTAATGAAAAACTTTACAATTTTCATGAAATGATCAACTCCAAAATTTAGTATGTATATACTAATTTAGTATTATGTTTTACTTTTTTTTTGGGTCAAATTATGTTTTTCATTTTCATTTTTATTGATTTAAAATATATTTTTCTTAACAGGGTAACAAATCGGATCATCTTACCTAATAATATTAACGGGTTGATTTCGGGTCGGATCATATTACTTGTTTACTTTAACGGATATTACAAGATACGACCCGTTAAGCTATCGGGTATGATATAAAAACAACACGAACACGATAAACACGTCACGAATGCCATTTCTACACGATATTATAAATAATAAAATACAAAATTGGGAACAAACAGAAGTAGAATTATATGAACATCCATCATGTAGAACCTCATAAACGAATTCCGTCTCAATCTTTAGAAGGGGGATGTAATTCGTCTTGCTTGGGAGGCATTGAAAGAGTGCTTTCGAGCATGAACGAGAGATCATGCATCTGTGACAGTATTCTCTCCACATCGTCAGATTTTGATCCTGCTCTTGCACTGGAAACATCTCCGCCCCCCGCCACATCTTCAGATTTTTTTCCCTTGTTTGTGCTTGCATCAGCCAACCTAAACACGCAACAGAAAAGGTGGTTAAGATATGTTCATCAAAGAATGTACCGATACATTTTCCATGAAGCTTCGTGTATGAGATTATTGAAAACAGCAAATATAGCATTCCACGGTGGCTCCAAACAGGATTCTGAGGTTATAATAGCACCCATATAAATTGGCTTATACACGCACCTGTCTAATACAGAAGGCTCTGGCTGCGCTCCATCCACTACAGTTGAACCGCTGGAGCTGTTAAATGCTCCTGCCGATAAATCTGGTTGCAAAAAGCTACCAAAATCCAAGTCACCAGAGTTGCTAGCTGCGCCGAACAAATTTACTTCTGAAGTGTGATCAACAGGTGTTGTCTGATTATTACTTTGTTTTACAGAACTATCTGCAAGATTTGATGCATTATTTGAGCTAGTAAAATCATTCCAAGCGTCGAATGAATCGTCATCCGGATCAGTAGTCTTATTATCAGCAGCCTTGTTGACAGTGGTCTGCAATTGGTTGTCTTGAACCCAATCAACACCACTTTGTTTTACAGAACTATCCACAACATTTGGTGCATTACTCGAGCTTGCAAAATCATTCCAAGCATCAAATGGATCATCATCCTCATCGGTGGTCTTATTATCAGGAGCCTTGCTGCTAGTGGTCTGCAATTGGTTGTCTTGAACCCAATCAACACCATTTTGTTTTACAGAGCTATCCACAAGATTTGGTGCACTACTCAAGCTTGTGAAATCATTCCAAGCATCAAATGAATCATCATCTTTATCTGTAGTCTTATTATCAGAAGCCTTGCTGCTAGTGGTCTGCAATTGGTTATCTTGGACACCACCCTTCACCTCCGCAAGCGTTTCGAACTGTTCGGGCCCTCCAGAAAACCCAGAGTTGGAAACGCCCAACAGATCATCTTGAAACCAGTCGGTCGACATGGATGTAGACCCAGTCAAACTATGGTTTGATTTTTCATTCGTTGAGTCCACTACAGACCCAAATACTGTGTCTATGTGGGTAGAAAGATCCACCGTGGAACCCACAAAGGGGTCAAGGGATTTTGATTCTTGGGGAAAGCTTTCAGAAGCTTGAGGAAGGGTTTCAGAAGCTTGAGGAAGGTTTTCAGAAGCTTGAGGAAGTTTTTCAGAAGCTTGAGGAAGTTTTTCAGAAGCTTGAGGAAGGTTTTCAGAAGCTCGAGGAAGGGTTTCAGAAGCTTGAGGAAGGTTTCCAGAAGCTTGAGGAAGCGATTCAGAAACAGCAAACTGAAAACTTGCCGCCCAACCAGAATCGCCACTCTCTCCTTCAGTAGTCTGCACAACTGTCTCAAAAGGCTTTACATTCTCAAACAAACTAAGAGTTTCATGACCTTGGAAACTCTCTTTACTGACAATCTGTGTGTTAGACCCAAACAGCTCTTCAGAACTACTTGAAGCATCATCTTTGTTTCCTTCAAAGAAAAAGTTGTCAAGATTGACTCCAGCCAAATCTGGTAATTTGGGCAGATTGGGGGTCTCATTTGAGAGATCAGTCTCAATTTTCTCTGGCCTAGAGGTCCACTTTATTTCAAGATTTAAGAGATCAGACAGACTTAACTCATCCTTCCGTGCAGTCTGTCCTCTGTTTAATTCATTTGTTCCAATAGGTAAATCCACTATCTCCTGCAAACCAAAGTCTCAAACTTCACCCCAAGTATTCAAGAAGTCCCACAAAATTAATATCAAAGTCTACAATTTACGTTAACGAGAGGACAATAATCCTCATTTCTAGCAAACAAATGATAGGCAGACAACTATAATTTCCCACATACATGATATGGTTACTGAAAAAATGGACTACAAATCTGTAGCACCTACAAAATTTCGAGTGTGATCTGCTTATAATCTCACTAAGTAGATTTTGATACAAATCATATACAAATACAATGTATTATTTCTACATCTCTGCATAATCTCAGAATCGCCTTTAAGCATTCAAGCTTTTTAGTTTTCTATGCACTGTAGATTAACTCAATTAGCTTCGAATCAGAAAACGCAATTAACGAAGTCATTACTCCGTTGGGTGGCTACAACAAGCTGGTAAAACACATTAAGTACACTAAAACAATCAAAGCTTCGATCTTTTTCATCATCCGGAAGCACCAAAACAAATAATTTGTTAAAATCCCTGCTTTTTCCTGAAAAACAGAACTTCATTCCACAAGAACGCATTGATAATTCAAATTCCGTTTCTTTCTAGTTTTCGCATCAACCAAATAGAACAAGAATCCCCTTTTTATTCCCCATCTTAATCTCAATTTTCTCATCAACCAAACAAAAGATAGAAAATCAAGTCGCATACCGATCCACTTAAGCTCAGGGACTGGAGCAGCCACCGGTACCCAAAAGTATCCCGGAAATTGATGGGGTCAGGAGGGAGGTCCTTGCAGAGTTCTCTGCCGCAGAAGACGCAGGTTAGCGTCTGAACGCCCCTCAGCAGCCGCCCTTTGCAATGCTTGCACCTCAGGTACGGCGGCGATGGATCCAACTCCGCCAGGGTTTCTTCGACCGAAGGCAGATTGGGCAACGGCGTGTCGTCTGGGTCGTAGGACGACATGTTCGCTTCTTTCCGAAGCGAGATCTGCACCTGCTTTATCACATCCATCGGGATTTCCATCGCCACTTTCAGGGTTGGTGGCTGTCGATGCGTGTGGTGGAATAGGGCGGTTGAGTGATGAGGGGCACAGAGTGACTAGATCGCCCTACTTCCCACCACTTTATGTTCAACTCTCATCACTCGTGATACGGTGGTAATCTCCTAAAATCATCTCCAAATCTGGTCTAAAAGCCAGATTACCTTCCCCAAAACACTTTTCAATACATGTTAAAATTTTAGAATAAATGCCAAATGTTATTTATGGGTCAAATACCCCCAGCTTCCCCCGGGCTAAATGACAAATGTTTATCTGAATTTAAATTTTTTTAGATTAAAATGTTCATAAAATTAATTTACAATAATCTATATATATATATATATATTTTTTTTTTTTAAATTGATTTAAGAAAAAAATTAGCCTAAGTTCATTTTTTAATAATTCCGGGCTAAAATTTTAGGGCAGAAGGGTTGGAGTAGAAAATATGTTTTTGGGCTAAAAGCCAAATTTTCCGGGCTAAAAAATTTGACTTTTAGCCCAAGGGTTGGAGATTGTCTAAGAGGTTAAATTATTATTTGTTGTATTAACGCCTCACATATTGTTGAATATACCCAATATACTTAACACATCTCATATATGTTTTTTTCAATTAAAATTTATCTATTACACTTTACGTAATTTTCCATAATACCCTCACACTCCTAACATACATCTTACATCTTCTACATACATTCCATATTTTTTACATACACTCCATATTTTCTACTTACACTCCACTCTCTTCATAATGGTTTCTTTATTCTTATGTCATTTGATACAAAATCATTCATGTCATGAAGGATTTGCTCAACTTTTTTCCCCTAAATTATTTTTTGGCAACAAGGATTTGCTCAACTTTTTTTCTAACTAGTGAACATTGATTAGTGAAGGTGTGTGTCCAAAAAATGACAATACATTTTAACCTTCATCCACATGTGATAGTACATTTTGAACACAGTTTGAGCCATAAGTTAAGGCAGCTCCCAAGTGAATTCCATAAATGACAATACATTTTAGCCTTCGTCCACCTGTGACTGTACATTTTGAACACAGTCTAGGCCAGAAGTTCAAGCGGCCCCTCGGAACTAGGATTAACTTCTCAATGTTTGAGGATATAGAGTTACTAAAAGTAGCTTACTTAGATATATGTCTTATAGCTGTGAAGGCCAAGGCATCCCATCCCGCCCATGACTTGGATATCTATCCTATATTCGCAAAACTAATCTACTTGAATCAACCTAAGTGTAATTTATGGTGGATTTTCGCTTGACTGATTTTTAGTTGGGCTTCTTTTCTTGCTGCAATGCATGTGTGTGACAAGCTCTTGAGATTCCAAACAAACCGCTACCCTATTTGCCGACAACCAGTTGAGAGACATTTGACGATAAAGGTCAACAATGGCCCTTATGAATTAGTCATCAGTGGATGTGTTCTACAAAGGAAGGTGAAAGTGCTTTTGACAAAAAGAGTTGAAGTCTTGAAGAGGATAAATAATTTTGGGATATACACATTAAAACTGATTTGAGATGTATTTAGAATTTTCTAAACCCTATAAGGTCGAACTTATCTTTACATGTTAGATATAGAAGTCTTTTAACATTAAATTTTTAATGTAAAGTGCATTCAACATTACGTGTGATGCTAATAAAAAAAAGTCTTGGTTTTTTTTTTTCGTTGGGTTTTTTATTTAATTTTTAATTTTTATTCTCATCCTTTTTTTTAACAAGAGAATATATAATGTCATACTCAAAAAAAAGAAAAAAAAATAGAGAATTTATTTTGTTTTGTAAAAATTGTTTTTTTTAAAGGAGACCATCTAGTGGTTACATAACAATCTACTTTTTTGTAAGCCGAAAAGATTCACAGAAGTATTTTAGTATCCCATGTCCACTGTCGTGCGATTTACCAACGCCAAGAACTTTATAAAAAATTTACTATTATAAATTTACTAAGAGAGAAAGATTATTCAATTCGGACACGTAAGTAGAACTTAACACTCTATTCATTAAGACCAATGTAAAAGAAAGCGAAGATGTTCCATTATAGATGTTAACTTTTAATCATCAGGACGTCTACAAAGACCAAAAACATTAATTGCAACATCGAAAAACTAATTTCACTTATATATGGTTTGAGTTTGTATGCACTTGATTTCTTTGGGTAACTGACCGAAATGATGAATTTACAAATCTTAAAAATTGTTTTAACAAACTTCCATCTTGTTTTGTTTTGGACTTCGTTGGCATACATTTACTGATTCACTTTGAAATAAATAACATTGTTTATTTAATTCACCTACACTATTAGAGATGCTCTAAAACTGTTTTCAAATTGTTTAAAACATTTTCCTAAACTATGCATGCTGGCGATTGTGACGAAACTCAACAATCGCATTCTTCACGAAAGCTATTACTCAAAAATTTTAACAGATTATGAAGAAATTTAATTTTGTAAACCCAAACGCTACTTAAACACAAATAAACTGAGATTTTTTTTAATACATCAATATTTTTATACTAAAAAAAATAAAAAATTCAGCTAATAAATTGAAAAAATTATTTACTAAGAAATAAAAAAACCGAAAAAATGAAACCGTTTCGTAATATCGCGTAGTCGGACCAACTGGCAATCTCACTCCCAAAACAGTGAATTTTAAATAAAAATAAAAAAAGCAGCGTCAGTGCGTCCCTCCCCACAAATCAGAAAGCAGCCATCTTTGATCTTCGCAAGTCTCAACTAAACACCGGCGGTCGAACCATTGAGAATCGACTTCGCCGACTCCCAATTCCGCTACTTCCGATCGATTCGATTTCTGAAGCTGAGGAAGAATCGAGATTAAGAGAGAGATGGCGATGAGTCCGGCGGTGCTGAAGGCGGGGCTGGTGATAGTTGGGCTGTGCATAGCCGGGTACATAGTGGGGCCGCCTCTATACTGGCACTTCATGGAGGGCTTAGCCGCCGTCTCCCACTCTTCTTCTTCCTCCTCTTCCGCTTGCCCTCCTTGCACCTGCGATTGCTCTTCTCAGCCTCTCCTCTCCATCCCCATTGGTAATTTACTCTTTTTTCACTTGCCCATGATCCATTTTTGCCAGATCTGATTAGATCTCTTGCATTTTTCACTTTTTGTTCTGTTGGGTTTTACACATTTTGTGCTGATTTGATGCCAATAAGCTCAAATTTCCATTGGATTCACTGATTTCAATCCTTTCTGGGTTTTTGTTGAATTTTTAAAGCAACTGGTTTTTACTTCACTCGGCTAATTTACTAATTTATTAGTTGTTGATTGGCATTATTATCGGATGTATACTTATATTGGTTTGTTCTTTCGTCTGCAGGACTCAGCAACATTTCCCTTGCAGGTTAGTCTCTTTTTGTATATATGTTTATATAAACTGATTGGGTTATGATATAATTGACTGCTTTATATCTCTCTCTCTGTGTGGATATATATATTTGGCTGTAATATGTATGTATGATTCGAGATTGAATGTGTTGTGGTATCAATAGCTTCTCCTTGCCATAAAGTAGCGTACTTTCTCATGTTTATGTTGAATAATTAATATTCCCCTGAGGTGTTACATGTTAAGGACTGTAATAATGGGGCAAATATTCAATACAAAGTGTTTTCGAGGAAATCCGTCTGAATCCCAAAATATCATTCAATCCGAAGTAATATTTTCTCGTTTTTTTTTCACCTTTAGATCTTCCCTGATAGACAAATTTTCTTGGGGAGAAATGTCAAATCTTGCAGTTACGTAAACTTTCCTGTTTACCCTATTTTCCTTAAATTCCTTTTATACATACATTCTGTCTCTCAACGTTACGTGAGTTGATTATGTAGATTGTGTGTGGTTTCTCCTCGTTACAATCTTTGAAGTTAAGATTGCAACCAGAGCTCTGGACTCCTAGCTTTCATTAGTGGGACTGGCAATTGATCTGGTCTTCTGATTTTACTGTCCAATTTTCATTGTTTTGGAATGAACCCAACCACCCCTTTTCCTCAACTTGCTTTTTATAGTTGTTGATTTCACTTTGTAGGAAGAGTTTGTGTCATTGATATCTATGTGTTATTTTCTTATTTTGGTTGAACCAACCTTCGGATGTTGAACATGGAGGTTAAGTTGAAACTCAAAATCATAGAATGCGGACTTAGTTTCCTAAATTTGGTTTTGCATTGCATTTGCAAGCAAAGTTGGTGATTCAAGTGATTGGCTACATGAAAGTTTCAGATTTGGTTCAATTTTTATATTCTTTTTACGGTCTGTTTATTTCTTTGGTACATATTATGCAGACTGTGCAAAGCATGATCCAGAGGTGAATGAAGACACTGAGAAGAACTTTGTGGATCTTTTGACCGAGGAGTTGAAGCTTAGGGAAGCTGAAGCTTTGGAAACTCAGCAACGAGCTGATATGGCTCTACTAGAGGCTAAAAAGATTGCATCCCAGTATCAAAAGGAAGCAGACAAGTGCAGTTCAGGGATGGAAACATGTGAAGAAGCAAGGGAGAAAGCTGAAGCAACATTAGAGGCGCAGCGGAAACAGACAGCATTATGGGAGCTCAGGGCTCGTCAGAGAGGGTGGAAAGAAGGGCTTACAAAGTCTAACACTCAGACGCAAGGAAATGTCCAGACTGTGTAGAAAGCTCCATAGCGTTTTTGGAACAACCAAAGGCTTCCTCTCTTGGTTAGTGATAAACTTTTACTAGGTTATTCTTCTTCACCTTAAATTGTGCATGCTATACAATCAATTTCATTTACCAAACTGAATTATTTGTATTTACAGTTAAAAGTGTAGAGAACTTAGCTGTGTTATCTAGCCTTCCAAAATCAATCGATGTTGTGGCAAGAACCTTAATCATCGCATTCTCCACCGAATTATAGTTGAAAGTTCCACTTGTATGACTGAAACCAGAAATTCTTCATTGAATGTCAGAGTATCGATGGTTGTCTAAGTCCTGGCTTGAGCTTGATTGGTTAATGTTGAGCTCTTTTGTATTTGATCTAGGAAATTTTCACTTCCTGTGCGTCTTCTGTGAAGTTGGTACTTCAATTACTCGATATGCTTGCATTTGAAATCCAGGTCCAATAATTCCTATAAAAGCTCAATTCCATTGACCATCGGTTCATTTTGTTCAAGCATACAAAAAACCTGGCTGCCCCGGCAACTCAGCTGACGACTCGACCATCATGTCCGTGGGGGGCGCAACTTTGTAAAATTTCAAGTGCTTTAGCATTGAAAAGTGCTTTTAGGACCTTGAAGCACGTCCAACTTTTTCTATCAAACGCTATCAAAAACACTTTTGATTTCCTGGAAAAAGTTTTAACCATTCTAAGCAGGCGCTACGACAATCGTTAATGGAACTTTTAGTTGTCTCAAAAAGCTACAAGATCTATGGACCAAATAATGAAAAACAGAGTGGGACGTATTAAATCACTAGCATAATCCTTGATTCTTGAAGAGGGGCATGCATGATTTTGAAGCCATTTGTGCAATTTTTCATCTATGGTATGCATGACTCAATGATTCAGAAAATTAAGTGTTGGGTCATCTTCAACTGAAAAGATTAGATATAGTTCCCTCTACAGTTATGCCTTGTAAGAAATTATTATTAAATGAACAATGTCAGACTATATCCATATATCATTTCCAACTAAAAGTAATAAACATAGCCTCTCAATCATTTATTAGTTTTAAGTTTATAATTTAAATTTATTAGTTAATTTAATTAAACTACCGTTTGATGTTTTCAAATTTAGCCTTTGAATTCGAATCACTAATGAAGTTGAGGAGTTGGGCCCCAAAAAATGGGAAAGAGATCATCTCTGGATCTCTTCCACCAAGGTCACCGAATCAAGTGATCCAAATCTTCCAAATTTCATCAAACGACTAAAAAATATTATAGCTTTTAAAGGATCAAAACAGGTGGACCGTTGGATGAAATTTGGAAAACTTGGATCACTTGATCCGGTGACCTTGGTAAAAGAGATCCGGAGAGGATCTCTTTCCCAAAAAATAGGGTTAGAGGAGGACTATGTTTGGCCAGCCTAATGCCTTTCAGTCAAATATTAGGCTAGTGAGCTCCATAGAATTATAGCCTAGCAATGCATTGGACATGAGTTTTTTGATAAATCAGATCATTTTTTATTTTTGAATGTCAAATCATCCCAAACAAAGTCAAGGTAAGGGAGTGGGCATGGGATTATGATTATCTCCCTTCATTTTTCCATCCACTTCCATCATCTCCTTTCACACTTTTTTTTTTATCTTTCGTTTTTTTATAAAAAAATTAATGTAAGATGTTAACGTGATTTAATTATGATCGTTCAAATAGGATCAGAGAAAAAGAGAGAAAAAAAAGGAAACATAATTCTTTCTCCGTGGGCATGATCCATCAAACGCTAAGTACCAACGACCAACCATCATCCACAATAAATTTCTTAAATTTCTAATTCACTTTATTTAATTGAACTGGTCACCCCAAGCTTTTGGCCATTTTCCCTCAAATATCTGTCCTTGTTTATTTAATTACCTACAAACCCCCTACACAGACACTGAATTTTACAAAAGCAAAGAAAAATTCATGTGTGATCCATCACATCCACATTTCAACGGCTGTGATCACACCACTCTTCACTTGGCCTTCTCAAGGGCTGTGATTGAAGTACCGCTCCCTGTGATTGAATCATATCTTTGAAATACATATGCCACAAGCAAAGTGGCAGTGAGGGTCACAGAGTCCTTTGCAGCGCACTGTTTGTTGGACTCACTTGGTGAACCGGTCTGCGGTCCGTTGGACCAGTACAAGTAGTTCAGTAACTCTTTGTTCTTCATGAACCGGTCCGGTTTAAACGTGTCCGGTTCATCGAAGACTTTCTCATCCCTCATGACCTGTTGTTGAAACCCACAGAGCAACTCACCCTTCTTGATGTCAAAGGCCGAGTCGTGTGAACTGAGTTGGAAGTCCTTCCTGGCTCGGGCAAATTGGAGAGGAACCGGTGGGTTGAGCCGGAGGGCTTCGTACACTACTGACTGAACCAGTTGCAAGTTTTTCACCGAGTCGAAACTCAAAGTTGAACCGGCGTTTTCTCTGACTTCCTTGACTATTTTGGCTTGTAAACCGGTGGTGTCGCTTGCTATTTTGCCTATCAAACTTGGCAGAAAGACAGAAAACCCACCATATGCATTGAAACCAAGTACAAAGAGAAGGTTGTGAATTGTTACTTCTTTGGTCAGTCCGAAATCGGTTTCACCTCTCTTTACCACTTCTTTACCTGTAAACAAGTCCATTTGTATTCATGAACGCATAAAATCAAGATACAGATGGCATTAAACTTATCGAGTAACATCATATGACATTTATCGATCACATCTCTAACATCGTGTATTATGTTGGCGCCCTTTATCGATCACATCTCTAATAGTTTGTACTATATTGGTGACTCCTATGGGATACGTATGGTAATGCTCTCTCTTTAGTCTTATGTTGACATACAAACGTTTATGTTGTCAATTTGTGAATTTGGACCGCACATCAAGCAATAATCAACTTAATCAATAGTCTAACAAAAAAAACTTTTATGGGAGATGTCGTCTATACTCTATAGTATGTTAATGAATGCAAGTAGAAAAAAGTTTTGAATTCAAATATATCTCAAAAGGAATGAGATTGATAGTTTGTTTAAGTTCCAAGTAACTTACCATGTTCTTCTATAAACTGGTAAAGCTGGTTGTAGTCTCCACTGACTAGAAAAGAAGGGTATGCAAAAGAATGGAGGAGAATCTCCTCCAGGGGCTGAAGCACACCAATCTTGACTGTGGGGAGGAGCTGGAGGGCGAGCCACCGGTCAAGCATGGCGTAGCCGGACTTCGCTATCTTGGGCGAGCTTGCCGGGTCAGCTCCAACTAAGCATTTAGTGAGAAACTTGAACATGAACTTCTGAAGTGGGATCAAATAGCTGGCACTCCCATCTTTGGAGACGTCTGCTTCTATTGTGTCAAAGAAGGTTGAGAGGTTGGCAGTGAGTTCAGGCACCCATGTCATGGAGCTTCTTTTCAAGATATCCATGGCAAAGTTTTTGATCTGTGAACAAGATATTAAGATGGTATTGGTAAGTTAATAGAAATTAAACTTACCAAAAGATGACCAACTATACAGTAGAATTCATATCTTGTAAGATGAAAACGTTTTTCACTTCCTGTCGAAATCAAATTAAGCATGCTCTAAGCATTTAGGTTAGCAAAGTAAATCCCGCCGTGGTACCAGATTACGTAAACCCTAAAGAGACGAAAGCCTTTTTCAAGAGTTGTACTATTGAAACCCGTTTGATCATTCTGCATAGCACATCATGTATCAACAAAAATAGAAAAAGCTACTGTACAACCTTCCTTAGTCTTTATGAAATTTTTAGTTCAAATTTCATAGAAGACAAGTAAAAGAAAAACCCTTAAATAATATTTGTTCATCTATCTAAAATATTTTTGTGTGGTTTCGAGTCTAGATCCCTAGTTTTACAATCTCTCATTCCAATGAAATACGGAGAGTGCGAAAATCACAGCCGAGAAAAAAAAATTACTCCAAAAAAAAAAAGAGAGGGAAAGAGAAACTGTAGGAAATGAATCCCATATATCTCATTTCCCACACTCATCTGCAACTAAAAATCACCACCAACCAATTGTTTAATGGTCCCTACGAGTACGAGTAGGAGTCGCTATCATATTCGCATACATTTTGGATTGATTTGGACCATCTGGGACTTTTCTAAGGAACACAAAAACCACAAACCATTCTTTTCTTCCGGCCAACATATCCAACCAGTCCCTCATCGGAAAATCCACTTCTGCTTCAGCAACAACTAGAAACAAATAATATCTTTAAATGCTCAACACAATCTTCTCTTCCTAAAAACCAGTTGACGTTCTTTTTTTTGCTATGAACATCTGAATCGTACATTCTAACATTCATAAATCATCCAAGCATTACGTTGCGAAAAACCAAATTAATCCACATTTACAGCCTGACAATCCATATTTATATATTTCTAGTAAAATACTGGATAAGTTAATTTCTTAACCACACTGCAAAAATCTCACTCAACCCTTTTAGACGATTGAAAATTTCAAGCTTGTAATTAATCCCAAAAAATAAAGAAATTCAAGCATGTACTAGCGGAAACTTTGAAAATCTGTTCAACCAAAAATCAGTGAACTATTATGATAAAATAACTTAATTTGGATTGCCATATCGATTGGACAAACCGATCATGTTATCCTTAATTATATACTCAAAAAAAATAAATTGAAATTGGTTAGTTTAGCACTATAAAATCATTAGAACAACCAATTTTCCCTAACTATTTCACCAACCTAAGCGTAGTTAAGTTGGTTAGAGTATGTGTAAATTCAAGCTTGTCTCACTTCCGCTCTCGTAATTTAGATTAGATTAGTGCAAATATCGCTCTAATACAAAAAGAAATCTATAGGTACCGAATATGTAAAAGAAGAAGAGAAAAAGAAAAGTTGATACGAGTTGATTCAAACCTGGGAGTGTTGGGGTTCGGATGTATCAAGATAAGCGCAGGTCCTCAAGTTGCCGGTGAACTTAACACTCGGCATGAAGTCGCCGACAAGAACATTCTTCTTCTCGACCAACTCCATGTCGAACATGTACGAGAAGGACTTGCAGTCGAGGACGGCGATGACGTTGGGGTTGACGTTGACGAATAGCGGGAAGCTGGGAGGGACATTTGTGCGGAACACCGTGCTCTTGTACTTCTCGGTGCGCTTCTTGAAGAATGTTTCGGGACCCTGGAACCAGAAGTAGTCCAGGCGGTCCGAGATGGGGCCCAGGAGCGGCCAGCCGTACGTTCCGGGGATCGTACGGACTGGCAGAGATGCTGGTGGTTGTTGGTGAGAGAGCGTTGGTGGTGACGGTGACGGTGGGATGCCGGGGGT